TCTTAAAGTAAAAAAAGAAAGAAAAATGAATTTACAATGTATAGAACCTGCTGCAGCAGGACTGACATTTTATGACCCTTTAGGTCTGGTAAGAAGGTTAGGAGGGACCCCACAGTAAAAAAATGTTTTTTAAAAAGTGTGTGAGGTTCCCCCTAAAAGCTGTACCAGGCCCTTTAGGCCTGGTAGGACTTTTAAGGAGAACCCCACAAATGGGGGGGGGGGGAAGTGTGGCGGTCCCCTCCTAAATTCCTACCAGACCCTTGATCTTAGCACAGTCCTGGCAGCCACATGCCTTCGGCATGGGTCAGTGTCCCTATGCTGATGAGGACAATGGCCTAACTTCTCCACAAATACCTCATACTCCTTCACAAGGGAGGGGCAGCATCAGGGTGCCCCCTTACTTAAAGGGGTACCCTGATGCTAATGAACTCCCCTGGCCCAGTGGTTGTGTGGGTCTGTGGGCAGGGGGGACTCATTAGCATCAGGGTACCCCTTTAAATAAGGGGGCACCCTGATGCTGCCCCTCCCTTGTGAAGGAAGGAGTAAGGGGTACTTGTATCCCTACCCCTTCACTAAAGGGTTAAAAGTGTGAAAAAATAAAGAGATCAAACTTCTGAAAAAATCCTTTATTGAACAAAAAAAAGTCCTTTATTAAAAAAAAACAAAAAAAATGGTTCCAGTGTTGTAATCCATTGTCAATCATGGTGTCCAGTGTTTTCACAGTAACGCCAACTCGCCGAACTAAAAAAAAACCACCAAGCACTCACCGCAATCTGACATTTGTAAGTCAGATGTAAACAATTGGGCAGAGTTAGCAGTGATGTCACCACTAGCTCTGGCCAATTATGTACGTCTGACCAGCAACTGTGATTAACAATTGGGTGGAGCTAGCAGTAACATCCCCGCTAGCTCCGCCTATTGCCGTGAGCCATGATTGGCTAAAGTCACTGAGAATGTGGCCAATCAGGGCTTATTGTGAACTCAGCTGTGATTGGCCAAAGCATTGCACCTGATCTGTGGTCAGGTACAATGCTTTGGCCAAATTACAATGTGCTGCCAGAGCGCCCCAGATGTTTGTGTGTTCAGCACACACAGAAAAATCCAATGTTCAAGTCGAATGTACTCGTGCAAATGCTTAGTATCGGCACTGATACCGGTATCGATATTGCTACAACCATAGTATAAACATTTTTTCAGGTCTCTCCAAAGCATCTTAATTTTAGTGATTTAGTGGTCAGAACTTTCAGTTATTTAATAGCATAATTTAGCTTTAACTCATTATGTTAAATAGATTACTGTCTTTCTATATTTCCTAATGTGTTTGAGATGCATTCTTTTTTTAATTTTATGGTCAACTATAGGAATACATGCAAGTCTCGCAGGTCATGTGGCAGCAAACAGCTCTATTACTATCAAAAAGCTGTGAAAAGCTATATTTGTTGGCTCCATGGTAGGATTGTCTACCTTTGTTTCATAAGTCTGCTGAACGTGATATTTGAGGTGCTGATGTAAGAGACTGTTATTTTAAATAAGTAGTAGCTTAACCTCCCTCCTCCTCTCTCCTTCTCCCTTCTCCAAGCTAACAGACAGACTGGAGACTGTACTACACTGTCCACTGCTAATGCTTTAGTTCAGGGAAGCAGCACTGCAAGACCAGGAGCCTGTTGTAAACTGCAAGTACTGGAGCAAGAATTTTAACAAAGAGTTTCTGGGAAATGTTTACTTTATTGTGCACAATGTATTGAATTAAAAAATACTGAGGGCTTATTACTATTTTACATGTTACTTGTAGCAACAGCATCCAAAAAAAGGTTTTCTGCACTGCTAGGTCAGATTGTGCTGTCTGGCAGAGCTGTGTAAGTTTCAGGATTTGGAATGTAACAATACTCTTGTATGAAGATTTAAACAGTGTAATCAGCTGTGTAACTGGAGGTTCAGTCTTGACATACAATAAAATGTGTGCAGACATCACTTATGGTAGTAGTAACCATGTATATATAACTCCTATTTTACTATTTCAATCATAAACAAAATAAATACGTTTCTTACATTGCTATACGTGCTGTGGATCTTTTGCCTTTTCTAACTTACAATAAATATAGCGCTGTCATTTTTTCCAAGTTTCGCTGATAATTATTCGATAACAAAAAGCTTCACAGGTACAGTAGATCTGCAAGACTTCAGGCTGCAGAACTTCAACAATTCCCATCATTTCTTTTTATTTGCTTATAAATTTAGACATAACATATGACTACGCAGTCATATCAAATCAGGGGTTAGCCATCCTTGTCAACACGTTTCCATTTGCTTGCATAATGCTATAGGCAGGCTGAGGACAACGTTCCAAGGTTTGAGTCTGTGTCTGTCCTTGGGCAAACACATTTCTCAGTCTTCATAGTGTGGATTGGTCATTTACAGTTTCTCTGAGATGTCAGCTGCAATCTGTCATCTTCCTTGTTTGCCTTATGTGGATGGAAAGGAGGAAAAGCTCTGCCTCACAGTAACATATAATGTTCTGCTATTACACAGAGGTTAACAAACACAATGGTGAACCTCTGTTTGATTTCTTCCTCTACACGCTTTGCTGGAAAAGGCTAAATAAATTACATTAACCTTTTCACATTCAGGGGGTCTGCAAAACCTTTGGGACCAGGACAGATTCTGATGCTTTGTTGTGTGCCAGTTAACTTAAAGTGGAAGAAAATCCTAACTAGAACTATTCCTAAAAATGTTCCCTGCTCCCTCCTCCTGCCTAATCTGTAAAAAAAAGATGTGTGTACTTATATTTTTAGTCCGCTTCAGTCCAGTTGCATGATTCTGCAGCTCCAGCTTCCCTGAGGCAGTAAGTGGCTGCTGCAGGGTAGAGAAGAAGGTGCTAGCAATAGCTGGGCCTTGGGAGCTGATGGGTGGCATAATGGCTTCAGGAATTCCCAGGCATTTTCAAGTGTTCCCTTACACAGGGCTGCAGGATCACATGACCAGACAGGAGCAGATTCAAAATAGGTAAGTACACAGATAGATAGTGGACGTGGTCTTAATTTCCTTCTTTTACAGTCTGAGTTTGAGTATACAGCTAATCTAGATATTATAATAACTCTACGCAAATGCAAACTGGTTCCATTGTATTTGGATAACTTGGTCAATCTCTAGACAGTCTTAAGATATCAGTATGACTCAATGAAAGTGAATTTCCCAGTAAAGCTGGCCATAGATGGATTGAAATTTGACTGGTAGTTGCATTGTATTTGGATAACTTGGGCAATCTCTAAACAATTAAAAATATCTGTGAGCCTCAATGAAAGTGAATTTCACAGTAAAGTTAGCCATAGATGAACTGAAATTTGGCCGGTTCAGCAGGGACTGGTCAAATTTCACTACATCTACAGCCATTCCTGATTGACTTCCAAGAATGTTGGACAATTTTCATTTGATCAGCAACTTCAGTGCTGATTAGAGTATTCTGACAGCAGAGGAGTCCCCACTGTCAGAATACAGTAGCACAGCAAGGGTGATTCCTCTATTCACCTTGCTTGTGTGGATGGGGGAATACTTTCACCGTTTTTTGATGAGCCAGCTGAAAAAAAAGAAAAAAATAATATATGGATAGCCTTACAATGAAACTCAGTTTTGACAAGCACCATGCTGACGAGCAGTATTATGGCCCCTTTCCTTTTTTTAAGGCATACAAATCTAGCCAATATCCTCTAGAACAACTTTCCACATTAAAACACAGCAGACATTAAACAAATACAATTGATCAGTTCAGTCTGAAGTAAGTATAGGGGGACAATTATATAATTTGTATTTAATAACACGTGTTAAGGGTCATTTGTTTGGTCTTTTTAGGCAGTACATCTTGCAGGTCTGGCTGTGAGTCTGCATATCTTTTCTTCTGTGTACCCTGCAGTTCCCCCAGCTGTTTAATATTTGTCTGCATGGGCTTCATGTAACCAAGTTTGTGATTGCATGTAATGCTCAAACACACATGTCTTAATGTCACCTAGGTTACATTATATAACATCTAATAATAGATATCATTCCTTCATTGTCTAAAGCGTTCATCCATGAAATGCACAACAATTAAAGTATAACTAAAGGCAAAGCTTTTTTTGGTTGGTTTTGCATATAGTGGAGATGGATTAGAACTTCTGTCAGTCTCTATTGCTGTCTGTGCCCCTATTTAGGAAATTCTCCTTCTCTATTTGTCCTTATTACCATTATCATTGAAATTTTAAATAAAGAAAATCCCAAATGTTGGGATCTCCCCAGAAAAGTAATAGGGGGGAAATCTTTTAATGGAGACACTAGTTCTGATGACCTGGGAGTCCCCAAGGGATTCCCTGAATTTTCAGGGATTTCCTCTCTCTTCCTGTTTGGCTATGGGACAGAAAGTGAAGGGAAATATCCAAAATGGGAAACAGATGGCGAAAAAAAAAAAATTCCTTGCTCTATACAAAATGAAAAAAAAATGTTTGCCTATAGTTGTACTTTAACCCCTTGCCTACCAGGCACTTATACCCCCTTCCTTACCAGGCCAATTTTCAGCTTTCAGCGCTGCCGCACTTTGATTGACAATTGCGCGGTCATGCAACATTGTACCCATATGAAATTTTGATCATTTTTTTCTCACAAATAGAGCTTTCTTTTGGTGGTATTTAATCGCCACTGGGCGCTTTACTTTTTGCGCTATAAATTAAAAAAAGTGCAAAAAATTTGAAAAAAAAAAAAAAGTTTATTTGTTTCTTTTATAAAATTTTTCAAACAGGTATTTTTTCTTCTTCACTGATTTGCGTTGATGAGGCGGCACTGATGGGCACTGATAGGCGGCACTGATGGGCACTGATAGGCAGCACTAAAGGGCACTGATAGGCAGTACTAATGAGGTGGCACGGATAGGCGGCACTGATAGACAGCACTAATTAGGGGTCACGGATAGGCGGCACTGATATGCAGCACTGATAGGCGGCACTGATAGGTGACACTGATTATGGGTACTGATAGACGGCACTGACTGGCATCACTTCTGGGCACTGACTGGCGGCACTGACTGGCACAACCCCTGGGCACTGACTGGTGGCACTGACTGGCAGCACTGCTGGGCTGCACTGGTGGGCGGCACTGGTGGGCACCACTGGTGGGTGGGCACAGGTGGGTGGCACTGGTGGGCACAGGTGGGTGGCACTGGTGGGCACAGGTGGGTGGGCACAGGTGGGTGGCACTGCTGGCACATGTAGGTGGCACTTCTGGGCACAGGTAGGTGGCACTGCAGAGTGGCACAGGTGGGGGCACAGGTGGGTGCACTGCTGGGCACAGGTGGGGGCACTGCTGGGCATGGGTGGGCGGGGCTAGTGGGCGCACTGCTGGGAGGAACTTGCGGGGGTCACTGCTGGGCACCGATCATCAGGGCACTGATCATCAGTGCCCTGATGATCGGTGCCGATCCCCGCTCTGACAACTGCCGGTTCTCAGCAGTACTTTCCTCACGATCTGACAGCGTGAGGAAAGTGCAGCCGAGAACCGGCACTTGCATTTTCCTGTGATCAGCGTGTCATTGGACACCGCTGATCACGTGGTAAAAGGCCGGTGGGATCGGCCTTTCACCACATCTCGTGATCAGCTGTGTCCGTAGGACACAGCGATCACGGAGATCGCCGGGTGCGCGCCCCCTGGGGCGCGCAGGAGAGCGCGTTCTGGGAGGACGTCATATGACGTCCACCCAGAACTAGCCGGCCGCGGTGCAGCCGTCATTCGGCTATGCGCGGTCGGCAAGTGGTTAATGCCACTATTCTGCCACTTAATCACTGGTGTAATTGTGGGGTGGATGTTAACAGGCATGTATGATGGGAATGTATTTTATGTATTTATGATGTATATATATTTCTATGCTTATATGTAATGTAGAAGATTTTCAACATTTTAATGGCAAGCTATTTTACACGAATTGTAAATAAAGGTGATGTTTTATAAGAATATATGTTGTTTTTATAATACTTGATATTACGACACCTCAAAAATTCTATTCTAAATTGCTTCCTTATTGATATATTGTATGTATTTTAGATGTGGTGTCTCGGTACCTTATACTGGGACTACCAAATTATATACTTAATAGCCTTTTAAATGTTTTACGTGCGACACTAAAAAGCATTGTTTTAGCTAAAGTGTTTAATCTACATTTAATTTGGGACCTCTAAACCACAATGAAACTCTTGATGTATATCCTAATGAGCTTGTTAGGATGAGTGTATCACTTATTGCAATCTAATGCAGTTGTACACCTCTGATACTTTCCCATCAAAACTGGAAAAGTGTTTCTGGCTGTTAAGAGCAATTTCTTTAACCGTAGGTTGGGTCAATGTTGGTGGGATGGTAATTGTCTTTTGTTACAGGAGAAATTCTTCAACAACTAATAGGCTGCTCGTCCACAGCTACAGGACCAACGATGTACCCAATTGCCAATACAGGGGGGGGGACCCCGTGTTCGTTGTATCCACTGGACACAGCAGAATGAGAATTTCGGTAATTGGGACCTGGTGATCACGTGATCATTATGCACTCACATGATCACAATATCAACAAATCTTTTATGAGTCAACCTGATTCATAAAAAAGTTTGCTTCTGTTCCTGGAGATCTGTGATTGGTCCACAGCTGTCACATGACACATGGAGCCAATCACAGCACCCTGTACCATGTGACCAGCTGGAGCCAATCACAGATCACTATTATATTGCACTATCATGAACTTAACACATTCATGACAGTTCAAAGCAAGCATGATCTTCATTGCTCATGCAATACCAAGTGTAAGAAAAAAAAATCCCTGAATCCCCCTCCCCCCCAGAGTAGTACAATGTTACTATGTTAACATTGCACTACTCTGATGAAAGTATTTTTTAAAAAATGTAAAAAAAAGAAAGAAAAATAATGTTTAAAAAAATGTAAAAATATTTAAAAAGATTTATTGAGAGAATTTTTTTTAACTACTTGGTGCTTGCCCCCCAACAATGTGTAGGTGAACGGATCTGGGTAAAGTGACATAATCTTACATCACTTTCTATTTCCGGGTTTACATGCGCATGCATGCCCCCCCCCCCGGATTGTTCCACACCTAATTTTTTCTAGGAATCGGTGCAAATCATACTAATTACCGTATTTTTCGCTCCATAAGACGCACTTTTTTCCCCCAAAAAAAGGGGGGAAAATGTCAGTGCGTCTTATGGAGCGAATATGGAGCGGCCAGTCCGGTATTTCCACCGCCGCCGTGTCAGAATACCGGGCCGTCCGCTCAGCTCTGCTGCAGCGGGACCTTACCTGTTCCTCTATCCAGTGGCGCGCTGTCTTCCCGGCTTCTGTAGTGTGGCCGCTCGGCTTGACAGCCGGGTGCCAAGTGCGTATGCGCAAGAAGTGGTGCTCTTTGTGATTGGTCCGGCGGCTTCTATGTCATACTATGTCTGCAGTTGCAGTCTCTGGCCATCTCCTGTACTATGTCCGCAGTCTCTGGCCATCTCCTGTACTATGTCTGCAGTCTCTGGTCATCCCCTGTACTGTGTCCGCAGTCTCTGGTCATCTCCTGTACTGTGTCCGCAGTCTCTGGTCATCTCCTGTACTGTGTCCGCAGTCTCTGGTCATCTCCTGTACTGTGTCCACAGTCTCTGGTCATCTCCTGTACTATGTCTGCAGTCTCTGGTCATCTCCTGTACTATGTCCACAGTCTCTGCTCATCTCCTGTACTATGTCCGCAGTCCATTGGTTCAGAATATTTTTTTTCCTGTTTTCTGCCTCTAAAACCTAGGTGCATCTTACGGTCAGGTGCGTCTTATGGAGCAAAAAATACAGTACAACTTGCCGCAAGACCCAGCCTTCTTTTTACTTCACAAATAATACCTCCCAAAATCCTATTGATACTCTGTAATCAGCACCCTGGTAAGCATGGCTACATCTTGCATTCCAGCTAATTGGCATAGACCTCCAACCATAGAGCAGTGGTTTTCCGAACACACAACTAAAACTATGGAAGATCTCTCCTCCACCCTCAGAGGGAAGGAAGAATTTAGTAGCGATACTATTAGAATGTTTTCACACCTGGAAATCCTGACCTCTGGTAAGTAAAGATCAATCCAATGAACCCTAATTTACAAGAATGGCATAGACAAGATTGCTTATTGATCAATGTGGGACTAAAACTAACCCTCCCCTTCCCCCCAAGACCTCTTTGCCCTCCACTGCCCCCCTCCTCTTACCCAGCTTCACCCTATCTTTCCCTTCACTATTTTCTTTTCTTCTCACGCCTTTTCTTACTCTTCAACTTCTATTCAAACATGATGTTGTATAGAGATATGGTATGTAATAGTAGGGGACATCTTTCTGCCCCTAATTTCTTTTCCCTACCTATCTATAGTTAATATATATATATGATGTTGATGACATTGAGAAGATCCTGAGGGACGTATTTTTCACTTCAGTTTGAGCTAGCAGGAAGAAGTGTATACTGTTTACTTTCTCTGACTTCTATTCTCATGTCAAAATGGTTTTCTATATATGTAAATGTGGAACGATCTATATTGATGTTAAAGGAAACCTGGGGTAGATTTACTAAAACTGGAGTACTCAGAATCTGGTGCAGCTGTGCATGGTAGACAATCAGCTTCTAACTTCAGCTTGTTCAATTAAGCTTTGGCAATAAAATCCAGAAGCTGATTGGTTTCTATGCAGAGTTGCACCAGATTTTGCACTCTCAAGTTTTAGTAAATAACTCCATCTGTGAGATATAGCCTACATATATTCAAAGCTTTTTTTGCTATCAAGTATTGTATACATTTAAAATAAAAACAGAAAAGGGCACACTCTCCTTGTGCATTACCGTGGTTACAAATATATTTATTACAAACTTGACAAATGGATACTCACAAAGCGAATGTAAAAAATGAATGTTTTGTGAGTATCTATTTGTCACGTTTTAAATAAATTCATTTGTAACCACAGTAATGCATGAGGAGAGTGCGCCCTTTTGTATTTTTCTTTTGCTAGCATCAAGACTTCCACATCTTTAGAGTGCTGCACCTCACCAAATGACAGACCATGAAGATTAGAGCGCTGGTGTTTGTTTCATTTTTATTATTTTGGTGAGTGGTTGATCACAAGCAATGTGTTTGGATATGGGACCCATAGCTGATCATAGACCCAAGCCATTCAATTTTTATTTATCAGTGAGTTGACTGGATGTATGGAAGCATGTAATTCTGGAACCCTGTATGTTTTTCACACATCTATGATCATTTCTCTCTCAGCTTTGGAAGTCTGTTTTTGAGAAGTCTAAAGACATAAAATGATCATTGATTGATCCAGTTGATTTAGTTTAGACTAGGTAATAGCCCTCAGTGGCGCGCACCACACAATCTCCATGAACGCTGTGTCCAAAGGACACAGCTGATCACGTGATGTGGTAAACGGCCAATCACAGCGGCCTTTTACCACGTGATCAGCTGTTTTCAATGACACAGCAGATCACCGGTTAAATACAGTTACCAGTTATCGGCTGCACTTTCCTGATGCTGTCACAGTGTGAGGAAAGTACTGCCAATTGCCAGAGTACAGATCAGCACTGATAATCAGTTTCCTGATGATCAGTGTCCATTAGTGCCGCCCAGCAGTGCCACTCACTAGTGTCCAGCAGTGCCTCCCACCAGTGCCCAGCAGTACCACCCACCAAAGCCCAGCAGTGCCACCCATCAGTGCTGCCCAGCAGTGCCACCAGTGGTGCCAGTTAGCGCCGTCAGTCAGTGCCACCCATCAGTGCCACCTAACAGTGCCCATAATTGCTCCCTATCAGTGCAGCATCATCAGTGCCGTCTATCAGTACCCATCGGTGTTGCCTATCCATACCACCTCATCCGTGTCCATCAGTGCTGCCTATCAGTGCCCATCAGTGCTGCCTATCAGTGCAGCCTCATTGATGCACATTAGTGAAGGAGAATATTATCTGTTTACAAAATGTTATAATAGAAACAAAGAAAAACTTTTTTTTCAAATGTTTTGATTTTTTTTTTGTTTATGTGCAAAAAAAAATAAAAACAGCAGTGATTAAATACCACCAAAAGAAAGTTCTATTTGTGTGAAAAAAATGATAAAAATGTCATATGGGTACAGTGTTGCATGACCGCACATTGTCATTCAAAGTGTGACAGTGCTGAAAGCTGAAAATTGGCCTGGGCATGAAGGGGGTAGTTTCAGTATCATAGTAGAACATCAAAGCACCTTCCCTCATTACTCCACGCATCCCTGATGGAAACAGTGGCCTGCTCTTGGGAGGAATTATTCTGATATCAAAATGCCTTGATCGGTGGTTGCCTGTCTGGAGGAGTGTTCCTAGGCAGACTGCGTTGCATGCAGACCACCCTAGATAGTGCCCAAATGTAATGCTGACTGAGTCTCCATGATTGATAGAATCGAAATGTAATAAATGAAAGGGTGTAACTGTAAGACTGGGAGGAAAGAGATAAATGTTGATGGATGTTCATCTGTCAGGAAATGAGGAAGGCTCTATCTGATTTCTGTAGTTTCTAATGCATACCATGAGAAGCTCACACTATGTAGTGAAAACACAATAAGCTTTTTTAGTATAGGAGAGAAGCCTAAACAACTGTACAAGTTAGATACAAGAAAAAGCTATAAAAAAAAGATAACTTAAGGTAAAATCGGTGAAGTTCTTGCAAAATTATGCAAGCAATCAAGGCTAAATGCTCCAGTTTGATGATGTGTAGTTGTGTAGAGGAATTGTAGCATTTGCATTTATTTATATATTGTTTTCAAGATTGCATAATCCTCACAGAAAAAGAGATGGTGAAAAACTGCATTAATACTATGTACTGATGAATAATGCCAGTGATTTAATCTGTTGAATAGTGTGCGTGGGTAGGTAGCTTTTGCCCTTTCATTTTTCAGACACAGAAGCAAAATGAGAACAAACAAAGATGAATATGAAGAGGTCACTGCTTATAATATGATCATAGTTGGAAATAATGGTCATATTTGGGAGCTATAAATAACACTTTTCCTCAGGGAATTAGGAAATGAGCAATGGCCAATAATCTCTTGATCGTGTCTGTTGTTTGTACTTTTAGATGGGAACAGACATGAGGGAGCAGAAAAAAATCAATTCTGCTAAAAATAAAACAAGGTTTAAGTCATTATTTAAAATGTAAAAAAATGGGTGAAAAGTGACAGATCTTATAAAAGGATGTTATTGGCCCCCAAAAAGAGATATTTTTTCAATGTTTTTGTCCTATTGAGAGCAATTGATATCAAGCTTCAGATGTCATTTAGTTGAAAGGCTAATTGGATGTCAGGGGCAGGAGCCTTAGTAACCTTCATTTTAGACCTTCAGTTATATTGATATATTTAAAAGGTTGATATGTCACTGCTTAACAAGTACACTGCACAAGAGTTATGTTCCTGATTACCACATAGATACATGTGTAGCGCTGTCTAAGAAGGAATCGCTGGCTAAAATGGGTCCTCTCTTTCTGGCATGATCTCTTTCTGATCTCAGCTTCTCTGACACTCCAGGCTGAGTACACAAACACACAGTATCATGGAGAAATTACTGACAGTAATACAAGTACCAAACTATAATGAAAAGGTTAAAGAAAGCACCAGACCAATTAGTTAAAAAAATGTAACTTAATATATTGTCAAAACATAAAATTGGTAAAAGCAGGCAGAGATAAAAGGCGAAATGACTAATCATGGTAATAAGACAATCGGTATACAAGATAAGTAACAATAAGGACAATAATGTGTAAGGTGACCCTTATCATCCGGATCAGCATAAACAGTAACAATGTCACCTGAAGTACAGCAGTGAGCAGTAAAAGACTTGAACTATATACCACTAGAGCTATACTGCCAGAGTGTACTAATGGTGGGTATGCTAACCTAGGTCTAAAATGATCTTCTAAGTCAGTATTTGAGAGGTCAAAATTGGGTATAGAGGGTAAAGGGGGTTTACGCGCAGTGTACATGACAGGAGCAGTCCTGGAGATGGTTTCTTCTGCTGGCTGTAAGTTGGGGCCCTTTAAGAATCATTGGTGCACTTAACAATAGTCCTGATGAACCTGCATTCAGTTAAGGATTTCTAGAAGGGTTGTATAGTCTTTGCATGGATGCAATGTGAAACCAGTACCTGGTAAATGTGTGTCAGATATAGCTACGGTTCAGTATATCAGTGGTATGGAGCTGGTAGTGGTGCAATATATTATTATTATTATTATACAGGATTTATATAGCGCCAACAGCGCTTTACAATATAAGGGAGACAGTACAATTACAATACATTTCAGTACAGAAGGAATAGCAGGGCCCTGCTCATGGAGCTTACAATCTAAAGGAAGGGGGAGATGATACAAAAGGTGATAGCTGCGGGGGATGATCTGGTGGAGGTGAAGTACAGTTCTTAGGCGGAGGTGGGGTAGGCTTCCCTGAATAAGTGAGTTTTCAAAGATCGCCTAAAGGCAGAAGGGGGGGCTGACCGGACATGCTATAATATAGGTCTGAGATTAAGGCACTGTCAGCTGGGTGTTCTTGGCGTCCTTCTCTCAGCAACTCAGTCCCTACTAGCAGTGTTTTATATGGGCTGATAGCCCTCTTACCAATCCCCAGAATACAGCTGCGGAGTCCAGAGCAGAAGATGCCCACTCAGTCTTTCCCTGAAACTTCCATCAAACAGCGGTCTATGCAGATGCTT